AAGCTGTCGCCACTCTCGAGGCCTGCTGAGGGGGGGCCAGCATAGTGACGTCCTGCGCAGATTCAAATGGTGACCTCGCCATCCCTGGGGGACTGCGATCTGTGAAGCTGTCGCCACCTGCGAGGCCTGCTGGGGGGTCCAGCACAGTGACGTCCTACGCATATTCAAATGGGACTCGCCATCCCTGGGGGGCTGCGATCTGTGAAACTGCCGCCACTTTCGAGGCCTGCTGGGGGGTCCAGCACAGTGACGTCCTACGCAGATTCAAATTTGACCTCGCCATCACTGGGGGGGCTGCGATCTGTGAAACTGTCGCCACTTTTGAGGCCTGCTGGGGGGTCCAGCACAGTGACGTCCTACGCAGATGCAAATTAGACCTCTCCATCCCTGGGGGGCTGCGATTTGTGAAACCGTCGCCATTTTCGAGGCCTGCTGGGGGGTCCAGCATAGCGACGTCCTACGCAGATTCAAACAGGACCTCGCCATCTCTGGGGGGCTGCGATCTGTGAAAGGGTTGCTATGTCCGAGGCTTGCTGGGGGGTCCAGCACAGTGACGTCCTACGCAGATTCAAATGGGACCCCGGCTGCGATCTGTGAAACCGTCGCCTTGTTCGAGGCCTGCTGGGGGTCCAACACAGTGACGTCCTACGCATATTCAAATTAGACCTCGCCATCGCTGGGGGGCTGCGATCTGTGAAACAGTCGCTACTTGCGAGGCCTGCTAGTGGGTCCAACATCTGGACGTGCTTCGCATATTCAAACTAGACCTCGCCATTATGGGGGGCTGCGATCTGTGAAATTGTCGCCACTTCCGAGCCGTGCTGGGTGGTCCAGCATAGTGACCACTTACGCAGATTCAAATTTGACCTTGCCATCCCTGGGGGGCTGAGCTCTGTGAAACTGTCGCAACTTTCGAGGGCTGCTGGGGGGTCTAGCATAGTGACGTTTTACGCATATGCAAATTAGACGTCGCCATTTCTGGGTGGCTGCGAGTTGTGAAACTGTCGCGACTTTCGAGGCCTGCTGGGGGGTGTCCAGCACAGTGACGTCTTACGCATCTTCAAATTCGACCTCGCCATCCCTGGGGGGCTGCGATCTCTGAAACCGTCGCCACTTGCGAGGCCTGCTGGGGGGTCCAGCATATGGACGTGCTACGCAGATTCAAACTAGACCTCGCCATTCTGGGGGGGGCTGCGATCTGTGAAATTGTCGCCGCTTCCGAGGCCTGATGGGGGGGTCTACAGGTGACGTCCTACGCAGATTCGAATGGGACCTCGCCATCCCTGGGGGGCTGCGATCTGTGAAACTCATGGTGACGTCTTATCATATTCAAATTTGACCTCGCCATCCCTGGGGGGCTGCGATCTGGGAAACTGTCGCCACGTTCGAGGGCTGCTGGGGGGTCCAGCACAGTGACGTTTTACCCAGATTCAAATTTGACCTCGCCATCCCTGGGGGGCTGCGATTCGTGAAATTGTCGCGACTTTCGAGGCCTGCTGGGGAGGTCCAGCACGGTGACGCCCCACGCATATTCAAACTAGACCTCGCCATCCCTGGGGGGCTGCGATCTGTGAAACAGTCGCCACTCTCGAAGACTACTGGGGGGTCCAGCATATGGACGTGTTACCCAGATTCAAATTTGACCTCGCCATCCCTGGGGGGCTGCGATCTGTGCAATTGTCGCCCCTTTTGAGGCCTGCTAGGGGGGCAAGCATAGCAGGACTCCGCTGCAGATTCAAATGGGACCTCCCATATGCTTGTCGCAGAATTACATACGTCCACGTCTCGTCATCATCCCCTTATGAAGTCGCCCAAGCTACTCATGCCCCGCATTGCGCAGGGGTTGGGTACGTCGCCACGGGTGTGTATATATATATATATGTATATATATACACATATATAGCGATTTCGAGGTCGCCGCGCGAGCTGTCACCGCACGGTTTTCCTGAAATCGGGCGGCGCGCGACAGTTGGAACCCCGTCCAGATCACGCCCCAGATCCCCAGACTCCAGCTTTCTGCGGCGTTCTGCGGGGGCGGCCAGGAGGGGGGTGATTACTAGGGGGGGTGGATATCATGGCGGGGGCCATGATCTGTCCCCAGATTCCATGGCGCCTCTTCTTGTTTCATTGCGTCCCGGGCCCACCCCCTGGGCCGCGCGCGCGCCGCCCGTCATGATCTGCACGTCCCCCCCTCTTGGGCACGCCCTCTTGGCCGCCCCCGAGTTCCTCGAGCCGGATCGAGCTGTGAGGGTTCCCCGGGCCCGAGACCCGGCGAAGGCGCCCAACTCGATCGGCGCAGGCGGAGTCTCCGTGCGGGAGAGGTCCGTGCGGAGTGCTCGGTCTCCGTCTGGGCTTGCTCCGTCTGGGCTTGGCCTTTAGCCTCTCCCTTGGGAGGAAGCCAAGGTCCTGCGGAGGCAGGCCATGGTGAGCGCTGTGGCTCCGTCTGGACCAACTCCGTCTGGATTGGGCCTCTCTGGCCTTGAAACAAACTCGGACGCCAGGAGGCACGACAGGAGGAGGAGGAGGAGGAGGAGGAGGAGGAGAAGACCGCTGCAAGCTTCGCTGATAGCATGGCCAACGTGAAACAGGAGGAGGAGGAGAAAGATGAGGAGGAGAAGGAAAAAGGACGGTGGTCAGCGAGGAGGAGGAATGAGGGGGCGTGGAGGGGGAGGAGGAGGAGGAGAACGAGGAGAAGAAGGAGATGGAAGAGGAGGGGGAGGAGGAGAAGGAGGAGCAGGAGGAGATGGAGGAGATGGAGGAGGAGGAGGAGGTGGAGGAGGAGGTGGAGGAGGAGGGGGAGGAGGAGGAGATGGAGGAGTAGGAGTAGGAGTCAAGCTAGCCAGCTCGAGCGAGTCAAGCATGGCATGCCCAGTCCCACCCGCACAACATAAGAAGCAAAGCTGGCACAACTGGGGGCCGAAGTCACACCGGCCAGCCGGTTTGGTACAGCTGATGCGGCCGCGATGGCGGTTGCCGAGAACTGGCGAGCGCGTGTTGAATGCCGCGCACGCATTGCCAGACGAGTCGAGAATGGCCCGGTACACCGCAGGAAGCCAGAGGTGGCCGGAGGAAGCCCGACGGTCTGACAGGACACCCCAAGGGGGCCCAGGAGGCCCCAAGAGGCAGGAGTAGTAGTACCAGTGGTAGTGGTGTTGGTAGTGGTAGTGGTAGTAGTAGTACCATGTCACCCCTTCGCGCGGGGTGTGCGCCGCGTCCCATTCCTGCCACGCATTTTGCGACGTGACGACAGCACGACCATGTTGACAAGAAAAACAAAACTGTGTATTGTCTTTTGCAGATTAGAATGGGACGGATTGGATGGGCGGGCGCGGGGTGTGCGCCGCGTCCCATTCCTGCCATGCATTTTGCGACGTGGACGACAGGACGTCCATGCGACGGTGCCAATGACGGCGACGACTCTAGAAGATTTGAGCATGCGCTCGCGGCGACGCGCGCGCATGTCGCCCGCGTGGTATTTTTTGCACAGGATTCGCGGCCTGGGTGCATGACAGAGCATCGCGAGTGCACCGCGCGATGACGTGAAATCGCTGGATTTGACAGAATTCTTAAGATTCCTATGGTTTTCCTCTGATTTCAGCAAGAGAGCCCGGGCAGGAAATTTGTAGATTTTTTGTGAAAATGCATGGGTTTTTTTATGTTTTTATGTTGAAATGCTTGCAAACACACGGTGTTCGGTAGGATTATGACATGAACGCGCGCGTGTGCTCTCTGTGGTATTTTTTGCAATGGATTATCGCCGTGGACGACAAGACGTCCATGTCGAGAGGAAAAAATATGAAAAATGTTGATTTGTATTGTTTTTTACAGGTTAGGATGGGACCACCCGGATGCGGCCCCTATCGGCCGGCCTGAGGGGGGAGTAGGAGTAGATTCTAATAAGGAATAAAGATAGGAGGAGGAGGAGGAGGAGGAGGAGGAGGAGGGCAGAGGAGGAGGAGGGAGGAGGAGGAGGAGGAGGAGGAGGAGGAGGAGGAATGGAGTAGGAGGAGGAGGAGGAGGAGATGGAGGAGGAGGAGGAGGAGGAGGGGAGGAGGAGGAGAGGAGCAGGAGGAGGAGGAGGAGGAGGAGGAGAGGAGGAGGAGGAGGCGCAGGGGGGCGGAAGCCCGCGACAATGACAAGGGGTCCCTGGAGGCATTTGGAGGCACACACACACGAAGAGCAGGGCGGCGGCGGCGGCAGCCGCCTGCGGCCCCCCGAGGCCTACTGCGCCGTGGGCGGCCGCGAGGGCACGCCGTGCTCGGCGGCGCCGGGCGGGGCGGGGGCGCGGCGGCCCTGCGCCTGGGGCGAAGGCGGCGGGCCGCGGGCGGCTGCGGCGACCGGGGAGGTGAGGAGGAGGAGGAGGCGGAGGCGGAGGAGGAGGAGGATGAGGAGGAGGAGGAGGAGGCGGAGGAGGAGGAGGAGGAGGAGGCTTCCCACCCCCAGATAGCAAGGATGGGCAACCTTCCAGAGAGTGCCCCTCTTGCATCCTTGGCTCATCAGTCTATCCCTGGCCACTTTCGTTGGCCGCGCCCCGCTTCAAACGCTTAGAAATGGGCGTCCAAGGCCCTGGCATCCTCATCGCTCATCCTCATGATACGGGCGAGGATCAGTCCATTCGAAAACGTTCTGGAGCGCTCTCAGAGCGCGGGCGGCGGGCGGCGGCGGCGACCCAGAGATCCTCGGACGGGGCTAGGACGAGTACCCACCCGTTCCAGAGCGTTCCGGAACGCCCTCAGAGCGTTGCGGAACGCACTGAGAAGGCCGCGGCGCCCGAGACATCCTCCAAAGCCGCCGGATCTCAGAGATTCTCGATTTGTTTTTTCCCGATGTTATCCTCGTCCTGGCTTCGTCTTGTATCCAGCGTTTTGAAAAGACAAGACTCGAAACATAACAACTGCATGGTTATTTTCACAAGTTGATGCTGCGTCCCACGGCGAAGTTGCCGCTCTTGATGGGCTATCGTGGCCATCTCGCTCAAGCCTCGAGCGACTTCCGCCCAGATGTTCACTGCCCTTTCCGCCGCGGCTGGCGCCTTCCTGCCAGAGGTGGGCCGCGGGCTGAGCACGGGGCTGGCGGTGTGCGCGGCCAACCAGGGGCAGGCCCAGTGCCGGGCGTGCTCCCGCTCCCCGCAGCTCTTCTGCCTGGAGCTGCGGTGCGATTGCTCGGGCCTCCAGGGCACGAGCAGCCAGGGGCCGCGCCTCTGGTCGGCGGCGCTGGCCTGCGCCGCCACCGGGCTCGCTGGAGCGGGCGCCGCCGCGGTGGCTTCCTGGCGCCTGGCGGGCTGGCGGATCGCGGTCGCGCGCGGCGCGGCGTCGCGGCCTGCGGCTGAGCCAGACTTCGAGGGAGAGGCTCGGGTTCAGGCGCGGGAGGCCCGCACGAAGGCCCTGCAGCTGTGATGGCGGGCGCTGGGCCGCCCGCCTACCCCTCCGTGCCGGGGATTTCCTCGGGGCGCAGTGCCACGTCAAGGGGGCGGTGTTGATCCACGAGAGGCTGGTCGTGATGGCGCCGCCTGATCAGCCAGGCGCCGCTAGCATCGTCATTCCCGGTCGCGACGCGTACAAGGAGGTGTGCGTGGGTTCGCCCGACGTCGTGAGGTGGGACATTCTCCCAGGCGGCGCGGCAGGTGGCACCATGCCGTGGGCGCTGGGAGCGCGGTACTACAGGTTCCGCAACGTGCCGACGGCCGCTGCGGATGCGGCTGGCCGATTCGGCCTCCCTGCCCCCGCTGGTCCCATCGTGCCGAACACGGCTGGCAGGGCGCTGGCGGCTGCACCAGGGGCGGTTCAGGGCGGGTTTGCGCCTCTCGCGGCAGGCATTGTTGTTGCGCCGGCGGCGGGCGTGGCTGGGCTGGTGGCTGCGCTCGGCGGCCCGGCGTTGGCGCCCGGAGCCCCCGTACCCCTGCCGCCTGCCGCGTTCCGCCGGGCGGCGCGCTGGTTGCGGCCCCAGGCCCGCCCCCGCCGCGCCGTTGCCCGCGGCGCCTGCGGCTGCTTCCCCAGCGGGCTCTGTGGCGGACTCGCGCGCGCAGCCAGTGCTGTACAACCCGTTGGGCTCCAGGAAGGTCGGTTTCGGGGAGGCGGTGGCGCGACCGGTGGAACACCAGTGGCCTGACTGGCAGGCCCCCGCACCGCGATGTGGGTCTGCACCATCATCAAGGACAACAGCCTCTCCCCCCTCGGACGCCACAGCAAGTGGGGCGCGGAGGGCCGCCTCACTCAGACCGACGCGGGCGTCGCGGAGCACGAACGCTGCTGCTTCTACCTGGAGCAGATGGTCTGCCTCGACTAGCTCAACGTCCCAGACATCGCGGCGGCAGAGATTATCTGCCGCAGCATCCAGGTACAGGAGGAGAGGTGGCGGGAGAGGTTCATCACGAACGCCGACGAGTCGCTGGACTCCCACCTCTTCTACGGCACCTCGGCCAACCAAGGCGACGTGCACGTGCATCCCCAGTTCCTGGCCTACATCAGCGGCGAGCTTGCCATAGAGTGCGCGGTGGCACAGGAGAGGCGCCTGTCGCGCGAAGAGCGCCAGAACGCCAGGGCCCCTAAGAACGCGGGGCCGCAGTGGGACGCGGGGGCCGCCCGCTGCGGCGAAGCTCGAGCACCGGGCCCTTTTTTCGCGGCGATCCTGACGCCACTGGCGCCCCTCGTCGCCAAGATTTTTTTTTGGATATATATATATATGTGTGTGTATGTATGTATGTATGTGTGTGTATGTATGTATGTATGTACGTATGTATGTATGTATGGTTGTATGTATGTATGTATATGTATACACATCTATATATATATAACTACCTTGCGTGGCTCGCCGTGTTGTACGCGTGGCCGCTGATTGCCGCCCCTGCCGAGCAGTGCGCCAGCGTCGTCGTCGTGCCGATGTGCTTCTAGACTGGACCGGCGATAGGGTAGACGCGCTCGACATCTTGCACGGCCACTCCGGCGAACCTCCTTCGGCGCTTGACAACCCGGGGCAGCAGACCAGCATCCGGTGTTTAGAGGACTGCTACCCTGGCATGGGCGCGATGGCGAGCAACCGAGTTTTCTGCGAAGAAGCCCTTTGCGAGCTTCTCAGCGGCCCCACCGTCTACTCCGACGACGGAGGCGCCCGGGCCCCGTGCTCCAAGGAGTTGGTCTCCTGACTCGAGGCGGGGTCGTGCCCGGCCGACCTTCTGGGCTGCCTCGTCCGGGATGGCGCCGATTGGGCGCGGGGCTGGCGACGTAACCTGCTCGAGGCGCCCGACCAGGCGCTGCTCGGAGCCCGACATTCACGCCCTCGCGAACCCTTCGTTTACCCTCGGTACGGCCGCGGCCTCGGCCATGGGGTCGGGCGATGCGCCGCTGTGCGTGTCGGGCGGGGACCTGGATAATGTGTTCTACCGTCGGTGCCCCATGTCGGGGGCTACTCCACCCTTCCGACGCTGTCGCCCACCGTGCTGGTATCGCCGAACTGGGCGGCAGGCCCATCCCCGCCTTGTCCGCCGTGCTGCGGGGCTGGGCGCTCACGGTCCACGAGGAGTTAGACTCCTCCACCGATGCCGTTTTGGTGGGGCTCGAGGTCAGGCAGGGCCACTGGCTGTCGATCAAGCGACGCAACCTGGAGCCGCTGAAGGCGCCGCCGGATACGGTGCCGCGCCGCGGCCGCTGTTCGAGAAAGATGCCGGAGGTCCTGATGGGCCGCGCGACTTGGGCCTGCCTGATGTGGCGCGAGCTGTTGTGCGCGTTGAACGCCGTGTGCCACCGCGCGCATCTGGCCTTCGGTGCGCCAGGAGTTGTGGCTGGCGCGCTCGCTGCTTCCCCTGCTCCAGAAGGGCCCGAGAAGCCCCTGGCATGATGTCACTGGGGCGAGCGACGCCTCCGAGGGCGTCGCCGCGCGGGCCGCGCAGCCGGACGTCGCGGCGCAGAACGGCCGCCAGTGCGAGAGGTGGCGGCATCGTCTGGCGGCAGCGGAAAACATGCTTGACAGAGAGCCCTCCAGCCCCCGACGCTGCCATCTTCCAAATCCAACGCAGCTTCGCCGCCTGCGGGCCTGCGCGGCCTGGGCGTCGAGGGAATCGAGTCGTTCATCAGGTTGCGCCCGAGGGAGTTCGAGGCCCCCAGGGAGTTCTTCGAGGGGCCCCACTGGGCACCGGCCATCTCGTCGCGGGTCGCCCCTGGGGGGGGGGGGGGGGGGCGCGAACATCTTGGGGATCAAGCGCATTCTGAGGCCCGCAGCCGCTTTCGGGAAGCATATCCTGTTATGTGTAGACAACATGCCTTTGGCCTTGGGTTGTTGCGAAGGTAGCGCTGCGTATATTCATGTACGGCGTAGCGTACTCTGAAGAAGCTTTGACGCGCGGCACTTCCCTGCCTGTGCCATTTGCATCCGTTGGGCGCGCAGCGAGTTCAACCGCGCCGACTCCCGGCCGTCTTGGCCGGTTCACGGGGCCTTAGCCTCCCGTGTACTTAGAGGGCAGGGCCCCCTACGAGGGCTCGGCGCTGCCGGCGGCGCTGGCGCACTACGCGCCGGTCATGTGCATGGGGGCGGCTCAGGCGCTGCCGCGGGCCACGCGGTGCGTGGCGGGCCGGCGCCGGCGGGTGCCCGCGCGGATGCGGCTGCCACTTCCGCGCCGCTTCCGCGCCGCCCCTCGTTGGCCACTGCGGGGGCGCTGGCGGCCCGGGGGCGGCCGCGCATGGGCCTGTTCGCGATGGCGTCGTTCGCGGTCTACTTCCGATCGCAGGAGGCCTTCCGGCTCGCAGGCCGCCACCTGGTGCCGCGCGTGGCCCACCTCTGCCTGGCGCCGGCACTCCGGGGGCTGCCGCTGCACGACCCCGACCTCCAGCCGCCTGGGGAAACCAAGCTCTGGGACGGAGCGCGCTCCTGGACCAGGCCCCTTGGTTGGGGCCCGCGCTGGAAGCGCTGAGGGCAGTGGCGGGAGATGCCCCGCTCTCGGACGTCCAGCCTGCGTCGATTGCTCGGCTCTGCGCGGGCTCTTGTCACGCCCTGCGCTCGACGCACCTGCGGCCGCACTTGTGCCCCCTCCGCCGCGGGGGGGGCAGCGAGGACCTGCTGTCGGGCGCCAGGGCCCCGGAGCAGGTGATGCGGCGGGGCCGTTGGGCCACGCTGGCCCCCCCGCGCCGGCGCGGCAAGGAGACGCGCCTCCCGCGGGGGGCAGCAAAGGTGGAGCCTGACGTGCTGCTGTTCGGGGAGGTCGTGGAGCGCTACTTCCTAGACGTCTTGCGGGGCGACCAGGGGCTGCCGCTGGTCGCCCCCCTGTTGCCAGAGCCACCCTGCCCCGCCTGCAGGGAGGGCCCGCTGCCCCCGCGGCCAGGCGAGCCCGCCGGCGCTGGCCGCGCCGCTGGCGGGCGCGAGGCTGCGCATGCGGCGGCGGCGTCGCCGATGCCGCGCGGGCGCTGACAAGCGGCGGAGCTGCATGTTCCTGGAGCTATTCGCTGGGCGGGGCCGCATCTCGCAGCGCATCCGCGACCTGGGCAACGGTTCCCTGGATCTGGGTATCGCGCGTGGGGCTGCCGAGGACCACGTCGGTTCCACCTTCGAGTCTGCGGTCCGAGGCTAGCTGCCGGGCAAAGCCGCGGTCGGCGCGTGGCTCAGCGCTCCACGCGCTCCCTGGTCGCAGGCGCCGAGGGGCCCGCCGCGCTCCGAGTTTTTTTCCGACGGGCAACCCCAGCATATCAGGGGCACATTTGCAGCGCTTGCGCTCAGGCAACCGCTCGTTCCATTTTTCCTGCCGGTTCATCCAGCCATGCGCTCAGATTTGCTATGCTTTCAGATTGGAGAACCCGCGGGGTTCGCCTCTCTAGCATGCGCCTGAAATTGTAAAGCTTCTCTCACGGTTCTTGCAAAGTCCACGGGATTGGCGCGCGCCGAAGAAGCCCGCATCCGTGCCCTGCTGGAACGCAGGTACTCTTCCCGACTTGTGTGTAAATCGTGTTCTGGCAAGAGCGGCATCTGCTCGTCTTCTGGCCTGCCTCGCCTCACCCGCCGAGGTCGGGACATGGGCGCGCCAGCTCGCCGCGCGGAACTTGCCGCGGCATGCTCGCCGCAGTTTGCTCGCGCCGCTGCCAATGCCACGACGCACTCGGCCAGCGCGTTCAGAGAAGACTGGGCGAGAAATGTCGCTCCATGCGCCTAGCTTAATTCGGCCAAGCGTTCGCGCTGATAAACGCGCAGCGCTTTCCTTTGCGACCTCCTCTCCTTCGCCACACACAGCACTTTTGTTCGAATGCTGTCTCCCTGCGGCGGTCGGCGCCCCCCGCGCTGGCGGGCGTTCGCCTGCTCGCCGCCGCAGAATGCGGAAACACAAAAACACAGTGTGTTTGAAGCATTTCAGGGGTGGCGCGCGGCTCTTTCTGTGCGTTTCTGCATGGTCGACGCAGGGCTGCAGGAGATCCGTGCGTAAGGCGTTTTCGGCCACCTGTCGTGGCCAGGTCTGCTCCGCGGGATGCGGGCGGCCCTGGGCAGTAACTTTGAAGGCGTGCGGCTTTCGCCGGCAGCAGCTGTCAGTCTCAGCTTCCCTGGCCTCGCCCTGGCCTCGCCCCCCCGCGCTCGCCCCATGGAAAAAGACATCGCCCTGACAGGAAGGCAGTGGAAGTTGTCGGTTCACTTCGCGGGCTGATGCTGCGTCCCGCGGTGAAGTTGCCGCACTTGATGGGCGATCGTGGCCATGTCGCTCAAGCCTCCACTCCCGCTCCTCCCTTGCCCTCTCTCGATGGCACGATTTTGCCATGTGGCCCTGGGCGGTAACTTTGAAGGTGCGCGGCATTCGCCAGCAGCGCCTGCTGGTCCCATCTTCTCTGGTCTCGCCGCGGCCTCGCCTTCCTGCGCTTTCCCATAGAACAAGACGTCGTTCTGGCAGATGGGAAGTGGAAGTTGCTAAGCATATACCGTCGGCTCTTCGCGCGGATCTCTTGCATCGGCGCTGCGCCCCACGCGGATCTCAGAGTTCTCACGTTTATGACGCGGCTTTTTCCATGAGTATCCAGACGAGTACTCCTGGTCGTCATCGGGCAGGCTATCGCCCGGCCGCGGGATCGCCAAGAGACTGCGTAGGATGAAGGGCCGGCCCTTGGGGTAGGTCAAGATTTTCGGGAACATCGCATTTTAGCAGTTCGGAGCATATCCCAATCGCTGTGTTTGGCATCACCTCATCTCGATGCAGATCTTCCGGATGTCCTCAGTTTCTGAGGGCACGTCCCTGAGATTGCCTTCCCTTCTTGCTCCCCACGTTTCGGAGAGTTCCTGTCGCGGAGTCTTTGGATCTGCGCTGGTCCCTCCATGCGGCGCCTCCGTGGAATAGTCGACTGCGTGCAAGAGCGACCCTTCGCCTGAGGGACCTCTGCTGCGGGCTCATCGGGGCCCCCGCAATCGCTGAGCGCGAAGCGATAGCAGCGGCCTGCGACCTCAAGTTTGGCGCCTTCGAGCCCCGCAGAAGCCGCGCACCGAAAGTCTTTTTTACCTGGGGTCACTCCTGCATCTAGCCGAAATAGTAGCTACGAGTGGTCGCTGTGTGGCGCGGTCGCTTGCGCGCGGGCACGCGTTGCCCTCGCGCTGCGTTGCCCTCGCTCTGCTGCTCTGCGCCCGCCACTTTTTGCGGCTGCTCGGACGCTGCCACCAAGCACGGAGCGAAAAACTTCGGGACCCTTTGGGCCATGGACACCTTTTTCTGGTAATCCCCGAGCTCCGCCTCTGGACTTCTACCGGGGCGGAAAAGGAGGAAGGCGACGGGCGACGGACGACGGTGACGGAGGAAAGAGGGGGAGGACGAGGAGGAGGGAGGACGAGGGAACGGTTGAGCAGGAGGGAGGAGAAGGAGGACGAGGAGGAGAAGGAGGAGGAGGAGGAGGACGAGGAGGAAAAGGAGGACGGAGAAGAGGAGGGAGGAGGACGGTGGTTAGCGAGGAGGAGAAAGGAGAAGGAATGGCCGAGGAGGAGGAGGAGGACGACCAGTGGAAACCCAAGAGTCATCAACGATGTTGGGACAACCCCCCCCCCAAGCTCCCTGGTCATAGGCTCCTACAACGGCTCATTTCCACTGAGGGAAGTGCCTCGTTGGAAACACCGTTTGCATATTTTGAAGCATGCCAAGGATCAACCTGACTGTTACGTCGTGACGATCCGGAATCGTGCCAGAAAAAACCCGTCCTGAGACTTCAACAGCGAATCAACGTAAGTGTTGCGCCCTCATAATCCGGAATCCTTCCGACAACAAGGTGTTGATATGTTGGTCATGGGAAACCGTTTAAAACGAAAGTGCGCTGCGCTAGGGCGAGAGCCACATTTTGAAAACGACAAATTCTCAACCCGTGAACTCCGCCACATGTTTAAAACGAATGCGCGCGGCGCCAAGGCGAGATCCACATCTTGACAACGACCCGCCGTTCATGTGTGAAAGTGCTGCCATGGAGTAGTCTTCAGGGTCATCACTGGCGAGGAAGTTTCAGGCGAAACGCCCGGCCAGCCTTCGAAACTGGCCTCGGGGTGCGACAGGGAAAAGTTCTGTTATAAGGAATGGAGGAGGGGGAGGAGGACAAGGAGGAGGAAAAGGAGGAGGAGGAGGAACAGGAGGAACAGGAGGAGGAGGAGGAGGACTAGGAGGAGCAGGATGAGGAGCAGGGAAGATTGCTTATACGGAAAAGGAGTGGAGGAGGAGGGGGACGGCGGCCGTCAACGGGCGGCGGCGGCGAGACGCGAGGGGGCAAGAGCTCGCACGGGTCCCCGCCGCGAGAGCGCGAAGTTGGCGCTCCTCCTCGTTCCCTAATTATGTTTCGCAAGAGGCAGAGGAGGAGGAGGAGGAGGAGGAGGAGGAGGTGGAGGAGGAGGAGGAGGAGGAGGAGGAGGAGGAGGAGGGGGAGGCGGAGGGGGAGGAGGAGCAGGGGGAGGAGGAGGAGGAGGAGGAGGAGGAGGAGGAGGAGGAGGAGGAGGAGGAGGAGGAGGAGGAGGAGGAGGGGGAGGGAGGAGGAGAGGGAGGAGGAGGACTGGCCTGGATTGTCATAGGCTACGTCCTGGGGTCTGTCGTGGAACGCGGCTCAGACAGATGGCACCCCTTGTCCGCCGACCGTGGCCAGCCCAGCCGAGACCAGTGTTGTGACGGTTGGCCTTGCGATCCAAGCCAACCTGTAGTGGATAGCGCTGGGCTCAGTTACCCCCAGGACGTGCCACGACGTATCCTGCCACTTCCCGCCCATCTCGATCGACAAGCCGCTTGCGACCCACCCGACGAGGAGGAGGCTCCGTCGGGGCCGTGCGGGTTGCCCCCCGCGTTCGCCGCCTCGACGCGGGACCGGCGGTCCTTTGTCCCTTGTCGGTCGTGTCGTCGTCCGCCGCGGAGGTTGGGGTCGCTGAGGGCGGGCGATCCTCGGAGCCCCAACCGCTGCGGCGGACTTTCCTCGTGTTGGGGTGCGTCGTCGCCCCACGGAGGGCGGCCCGCTCGCGCATCCGCGACGGGCCGCGGCCGGCTCGCCCGCATATGCGGGCGATCGGCGGCGCGGTATTGCACAAGCGGCGTCCGCCTGTCAGACAGGCGGCCGCCCATGCGGTAAAACGGTAAATGGAGGAGGAGGAGGAGGAGAAGGAGAGATGAGCAGAGAGGAGGAGAGGAGGAGGAGAGGAGGAGAGAGGAGGAGAGAGGAGCAGAGAGGAGGAAAAAGAGGAGGAGGCGGACGATGAGGAGGACGAGAAGAAGGGGAGGAGGAGGAGGAGGAGGAGGAGGAGGAGGAGGCGGAGGATGAGGACGAGAAAAAGAGGAGGAGGAAGAGGAGGAGGACAATTATTTAGAATCATACGAGGAATACGAGGAAGAAGAGGAAGAACAAGAAGAACGGGAGGAGGAGGCGGAGGTGGAGGTGGAGGAGGAGGAGGAGGAGGAGGAGGAGGACAGAAGCGCCGACCCCCGACGAGCTTCCCGCGGAAGGCTCGCGGCGTTGCGCGCTCGTCGCCCTCGGCCTCCTCGCCACGGCGTTGGGCGCGCTGGCGCTGACGCTGGGGGCGGCCAGGCGGCGCGGCCAGCTGCGCGGGCTGCCGCGAGGCCTGCCCGCGGCCCGCGCGCAGGACGCGGGACGCAGGGCAGACCTTGAGGCCTCCCAGAGGAGCGACGCACTGGCCGAGAGATCAGAGGAGGAAATCGGGGGTGGACAGAAGCCCCCACAGTGACACGTCGATTAGTGAATGGTCCGTTCTCGGTTTTCGAGAGGGCGCCGTGGCCGTTACTTTGCAGGCTTGCGCCCGCCAGGTTTGGGCCTCAGGTCGTTTTCACTAAACCACGTTTTACTAAAGGGAGGTCGGTCCATCCCCGAGGAAAAGGTACGGTAGGTTCACGTCGTGGCGACCGGCGGCGTCTCGCCGCGGGCGTCAGTGGCCCAGTGGCCGGTGGCCAAGAGTCGTCTTGTATGGAACGATCGGGCATTCGATCCACGCAGTGCAGGGAAACCAACGTCGGGGTCGTCACGACACGAACTTGCCGTACCCATACCTCTACCCGTCGCCCAGTTTCCCCTTTTGAGGGGCCTCCTGGGAGGCCCTCGTCGCCACCTCGGGATTCGCCTCGACGTTCAGAACGCACCCCAGGAGAGGTCCGGGGAGTAGCGGTACCCGTACCTTTGGCATCCCCATGGGTCATTCTTGCGTGTAGTTCGCCGATACAGTCAACGCGCCTAGTAAGGACGCGAGTCTTTTTCTAAGGTGCCCTCGTGTCCTTGCGGCCCGTCCTTGACCCCTTTCACTGGTCGCTCGCAGCCCCAAGAAATCCCTACTTCGGCCTTCAAAGGTCTTGCGCGTTCTTAGCATCCGTCAAGTTGTATCGGCCCGATGCCGTCTCGTTTCTTTCATCGTCTTGAACATGTGCGTGTTTGGATGTTCGCAACGGATTTGTCAACGGTTCGGAACAATCTGCTCGCGAACTCCATGGCGCCCAAGGTCCTTTTCCACGGCCGCTCGTCTGAAGGGTGGAAGAGATTTTCAAAATGAAAAGATGGCAAACGGTTTGGGAACAAATGCTCGTGATTGATGTTCGCCGACATTCGCGGGTAATCTGCACGCGTCTGAGGTGGTGCGTACAGTAGGACCGAGGTATAAGATCGATGTCGGTTCGGGGAGGGTACCCTCGTGTTCTTCTTGTTGTATGGGCAATGGCATGGAGGTTCTTTGGCATCCTGGGGAGGGTACCCTTGGATGTTCTGTTTGTTTTGGGTGGCGGAGGGTCTCATGCTCTTGCATGATGTTTTTCTGGCCCTGGTCGATCCGTGAGCGCCCTCGTTGCCAATGTGATGTGCCATGCTGGCGGCCCGCGCAAGCCACCGCGTAAGGTCGCTGCGCCGTCGTGCGTGAGGCCCGTTTCTGTTCGTCGCGCAGATGGGGTCCGCGGCGATGGCGTCGGAGGTCTGAGGGCGCTACCCTCCGCCCGTTTTCCCCGTCTTCGGCCTCTTGTAATAAGGCCCTCGTCGCCACCGTGGGACTCGCCTCGAAATTCCGGTCAGAACGCACCCCGGGAGGGGTTTGGCGAGTAGCGGTATCGGTTTTTTTTGGTTTCCCCAGCTCAGATGGGGTCAGAGGAGATGGTGTCGAAGGATCGCGCCGTATCGCCAATGTGTCGGCGATGCGGATAGAGGCGGAGCCCGATTGTTTTCACGCCGAGCCGATTAATCGCCGATGCGTCGGTGATGCATTTAGCATGCGGTGCGATCCTCATACCCCATCTTCTCCGACTCTTTTTGTTATGATCCAAGACAATGTTCAAACAACCTTTGGCGGTTTGCGCGAGATGTTTTTTCCGAAGATATCAATTTTAGCCAAGTTTGGTTTACCTAACTGTTTGATCAGACGGAGAATCTGTTAGTGCAGGCCTAATGCCAGGATGTCTTGTCCCTGCTCGCAACAAAGGGTGCAGCGACCGGCAGCAACCACCTGGGGGATTCGGGATTCCTCGTGTGCAGGGGATGGGGCGGGGTCGTAGTAGTTCGGGGTCTTCGGGCGTTCTTGTCGGTTGTCGGCAGCTCTCATGTCTCGGGATGCCTTCCAGCGGCTGCGACTCACCGAGAGCGTGGCGAGGTTGCCAGAAGTGTCCCGAAAGGCCACCCGAGGCTGGAGTTCTGGCCCGGCAAAGGACATCCTCGTGTCGTGGCGCAAGCACGTCGGGATGATCCTGAGCAGGTTTCCGCCTTTAGGGGCCCTTCCCGAGTCTAGGAGCCGCACGATAACGATTCGGGACCGTCCTTGGGAAGGGGTCCAGGCGTTTCGGCAAGGGCGCTGTTTGTTTGGGAAGGGCTCTTCCTTGGCAAGGAGTCACGCTGTGGAAGCGTCGCCAGGTTTCACGGTGCCCTCTTCTTCTTCTTCTTCGTCTTCTTCTTATTGTGCTGCCTCTTCTTTTATCGTCGTCCTTTCCCGATGCGCTCCCGGGCCCCAGCCCTCCTCGCGGCCCCCGTCTTTCTTCGGGCACTCCGGGCGGGCGCCGTGCCGACGGGAGCGGCGACCCCGCTCCTCGCTCCTCCCGCCGGGCCCCTCTGCTCCGGGCCGGGCCGCCGCCGGCGGGCTCCTCGCGGGGGGGGGCCTGCGGCCTCCGTGCCCCGCTTCCAGGGCGTGCCTGTCGTGTGCCAGCAGGGGCCAGAGCTCGAGCGAAACGGTGTTCTGGCAACTTCGTGGGCCGTGTTTTCGGTTTGGCTCTTCGTTCTGCAGCAGATGTGGCACGAAGACAGAGCCAGGGATGGCGAAAACGAAACGAAAACGGAAAGCACGGTTTCACTCGAGCCCTGGCAGGGGCGCCTCGCCGAGGGCGCCGCAGGGGCCCTGCCTCCTCCTGGCGAGGGCTGGGCGGCAGCTCCCTCTCGTCGCGGGGGCCGATCGATGCGAGGCCTTCCCGCCTCGGGGTGCCGCTGTTCCAGCAGCGCCGCGCCTCGCCGAGAGCGCGGCCCGGGGGAGGGGGGGCGGCCCGAGAGAAGCTGGCAGCCTCGCGCAGTGAGGGTCGGGGGCGGCAAAGAGGGGGGTGACGACTAGGGGGGGTGGTGGAGATCATGGCGTGGGCCATGATATTCTTGGGCTTACGCCACACCGCCGACCCCTTGATGTACATTGTCCCCCCTCTTGCAGCCGTGTCCTGTTTGGGGCTTCCCGGTAGGCTTCTGAAGCTCCTTGCGGCTTCTTGGGGGCCTCTTGGGGCTTCCTGGAAGCCTCTTGGGGCGGAAGACTCGGATTTTCGGTTTCTGGTCCCCCTCTTCACCCCCTCTTGGGCTCGTCTTGGGAGCCTTTTGGGCCGTCTGGGGCGGCTCTTGGGCCGTCTTTGGGCCCTCTCTGGCCGTCTTGGGGCCGTCTTGGGGGACTATTGGGCCGTCTTGGGGCGGTTTTGGGAGCTTCTTGGGCCGTCTTGGAGCGTCGGAAAGCCGAAAGGGCGAGAAGGCCCCCTTCCTTCAAAAACCAATGGAAAATCAACGATTTTGGCTTCTTGGGCCGCTCCCAAGAGGCCTCTTGGGGACCTCTTGGGCCGTCTTGGAGGCCTCTTGGGCTGTCTTGGGCACACCTTGGGCGTCTCCGAGCGCTCGTTTGGCGTTTCGAGGCGCTCGTGGGCGGTCTTGGAGGCCTCTTGGGGCATTCCTGGGCGGTCTGTAGCCCCTCTTGGGACCGAAAGAGCCCCATGACGCGCTCGTGGTCGACCCCCCCCCCCTCCAAATCGACCGGACCAGGCTCCCGGGGGAGGGGTTTGGGGAGGGGGAAAGCATCTCACACGCCGATGATCCCCAAGGGGTCGGCGGATTTCAAACGATTTCATGGTGCCTCTTCTTATTTCATTACGTCTCTGGCCCCCCCGCGGGGCCGCGCACATGCCGCCGGTCATGATTTGCACCTCCCCCCTCTTGGACCCTCCCCTCTTGGCCGCTCCCGAGGGGGAACAGCGAGCACTTTTCGCGTCGGCGGCGAGGCAGGGGAAGGCTGCGCTGGCGGAAAAGGCCTGCTAAAGGGGGATATGCCATTGTGGCGGAGTGTGGCGAGGAAGGCAAGCACGCAGGTGAGCGTCTTCTTGCTGTTTTGCCGGTCGGCGTGGGCCCTCGCATCGCCCCTCTGCCCCCCCCGCTGGAGTGGATCTTGGCTGCGTTGGGCGCCCGTTTCGAGCAGGCGGCGTCTCCCCCATGATGCGCGCCCTGCTGCAAACTGTCGCACGAAGCAGAGGTCTGGAGTCGGACCCCCTCCCCCCTCCCCCCCCCCTTGTGCCCGATGCCGAAACGCCGAATCAGAAAGCGCTCTCCAGGCAGGCACCGCGCTTTCGCGCGATGGAAATGAGGGGGGGAGGAGGAGGAGGAGGAGGAGGAGGAGGAGGAGGAGGAGGAGGAGGAGGAGGAGGGGAGGAGGAGGAGGGGAGGAGGAGGAGGAGGAGGAGGGAGGAGGAGGAGGAGGCGGAGGAGGAGGTCCTGGCCGGCCTGCGACGCCTGAAAACCCTTGCTGATGCCTGGGGCCGCCGCGAGGGGGGCGGCGCGCGAGTGGCCTGGGAAATCAGCCGAGGTCACACGGCCTGCGCTTTGGGAAGGCCGCGATCGTGTAAGGGTGGAGCGAGTGTCGGAAACAACCGCTCCTCCTCCCCCTCCCTCCTCCTCCTTCCTCCTCCTCCTTCCTCCTCTCCTCCTACTCCTCCTCCTTCCTCCTCCTCCTCCTCTCCTCCTCCCTCCATCCTCCTCCTCCTCCTCCTCCTCCTCCTCCTCTCCTCCTCCTCCTCCTCCTCCTCCTCCTCCTCCTCCTCCTCCTCCTCCTCCTCCCCAGGCGTCACGACACGACTGTGCCGTATCGACGACGGCGCCGACGACGGCGGCGTGCTTTGGGCGGCAGCAGGCGGTCCCCGAAAGCGTTTGAGAGTTGGGCGGTTTCTGACGGCCGCGCCTCCGTCGGGCGCGTTCCGCTGGTGCCCGGGCTCGTCCCAGACGGCCGCCGGAGGCCCCCGAGGTGTAGCCCGAAGTCAACGGAGCGGAAGATCAGTGGCAGCGATAGGGGGGGAGATGTGTTCAGTCAGGGGAGGGAAGACCATTCCGACCCCGATGAGTGGCGCTTACTGAATGGCCCTGGGCGTGTACTAAACAGTCCACCCCCTGTTCGATTCGTTTTTAGGGTGCGTTTGCCAAACGCTTTAGCTTGTCGGGGTGCCTATTATGGAGGTGGATGTTTTGCTGTCTATTCAGGGGGAGACGCAGTGACATGGCCAACAGCCCTACCCGCAGAAGAACTTCCGCCGTGGTCCTCCCCAGAGGAGGCTGAGGAGGAGGAGGAGGAGGAGGAGCGAGGAGCGAGGAGCGAGGAGAGGGGGAGAGGAGTAGAGGAGGAGGGGAGGAGGAAGGAGGAAGGAGGAGGAGGAGGAGGAGGAGGAGGAGGAGGAGGAGGGGGAGGGGGAGGAGGCGGGAGAGGAGGGGGAGGAGGGGGAGGAGGGCAAGCTAGGTGCGCTCGCGTCATATCTGACATCCTACCATGGCGCAGATCCCCTCTCTACTCGCACAGTCGGATGTCGAGCAGGGCAATGATCCCGAAAGGGTACGCGATGCATTGTAGAGCACGGCATGGCATGGCGTAGAAGAGCACCGCAAAGCGTAGTATCAATCTCGCATTGCATTGCATGCCGTGACATGGCACGGGAAATGACGCCAGCGCTGCAGCGGGAGCACGAGTCGAAACGAGCGGGAGCGCGGAAATGAGGCCAGCGCTGCAGCGGGAGCACGATTCGGAACGAGCGGAAGCACGGAAATGAGGCCAGCGCTGCAGCGGGAGCACGATTCGGAACGAGCGGGGCCCGAAAATGAGGCCGGCGCCTCAGCGAGAGCAGCTTTTGAAACAAATACAAGCGAAAACCCAACTCCGGGGAAACCTGTGTGTAAAAAACAGTACGCGGGGGGGGGTCGGACATTTTCAAACCGTCATCAGGGGAAGAGGGAGAGTAGTATTCATATTGAGTAATTGTGGCGGAGGAGGGGGGGGGGGGGGGCCCCCGAGCGCCCGCCCGAGGCCCCGCCGCATTCGAGCTGGGCGCGGGCGGCCCGTCGCAGCTGAACGCAGTGGAGCTGGCGCAGGCGGGCGGGGGGCCTGTGGGGCCGCCTCCGCACCCGGACCTCCAGCGCATTGAACACACACCCGCGGCGGTCGTTGAACGTAGGCACTGTTTCAGTCGGGCGCGTCCCTCTACGGGAGGAACATCCAGAAATAGTAAAGAATAGGTTGGGGACGACTTCTGTCATGCTTCGCCCAAGAACCGCCTGTAGGAGGGCACGCCCGACCTACAGGTGTGTGTTTGGGTGTCCAGATCTCAATATACTTCAAGCTCCTGCCTACTTCAAGGATCGATGCTCTTTTGCTGCGTGTTCTTGTTCTTTGGGAGGGCCTGAACCCGATCTACTTGATCCGCCCTCCGATTTCATGTGTTGTGCCCACTTCTGTCCGACCGTCGTGTGCAGCTGGCACGAGGGGTAAGAACATCCTTGACTTTGGAGGGGTACCTTTGTTGTTCTTCATGATTGGGCTGTCATCGGGGTAACGCTCGCTACCCGTGCCAAGCCGCCCCCCCTGCATGCTGTGGTGCGCACAGGCGATTGCTGTGCCTGCGGCGCGGACGCATCCTGGCGGGGGCACGCCGCGGCCGCCGTTACCGTTACCCTCCCGCCCGACCCGCCGTAACGACCTTTTTTTCCTCGGGTAATTGAACTTTGAATTGGCGAAGGGCCCAACCATATGCAGTTGTGAGTAAGGCAGTTGCGAATAGCGTCTTCGGTGGAGCTCCCTACGGGGCCACGAATCGCGTGAGGGGGGTACCACATGGGGCGCGGCGGGAGCATGCGAACGCGGCCACTGGGGCCTTCGGTTGAGCTCCCTATGGGACCGCGACACGTGTGAGGGGTATGCCGAAATGGGGCGGGGCCGCTTGGAGCCCTCCTGGGGGCCTCTTGGAACCCCTGGAGGGCCTCTTGGGGCCATCTTGGAGGCTATCGATCAACGGAGGTGGTTCTTTATCTTTACTCCCCCTCTGGGGATCTCAAATCGCCTCTTGGGGTGCTCTTGGGGCGATCTTGGGCGCTCTTGGGGCCGTGACCTCAAAATGGCCTCTTGGGGCGGCGATCTTGGGCGGTCTTGGGGCCGTCTTGGGGGCCTCTTGGGCCCCTCTTAGGGCTCTCCTGGGGTATCTTGGTCCTTGGGGGCTCCGATAGCGCTTGGAACCGTTGTGCGGCCCGCCTTGGGCATCTTGGAAGCATACTTTAGGTACTAATGAATCATCTTCGGCTATCTTGCGCCATCTGAGAAGCTGAGGAAGTGTCTGACGCATCCTCCCCCCGTCCAGACACGGGGAGAGGGGTAGGAGGTGAAGACCCCTCCCCGAAGGAGAAGGACGTTTGTTTGAAGACACGCTCTCAACCACCTCCGCCCAGAGGGCTGGTAGGATCCTGCTACAAGACAACGAGGTGAAGCCATTGATTCACAGCCCCAGGCGCCTGGAAAACAATCAGGGAATGAGGGGAAGGGGCAGGAAGGAGAAAACAAAGCAAAGGATGATGGGGAGGAGGAGGACGGAGGTGGCATGTATGCATGTTCATTTCCGATTCGTCTTACCAGCCTGCCTTGCCCCCCGTCCGCGCAGGATAGAGACCTGATGGTCGTAATGAAGGCGCCGGAGTGTGGCGTAGCTGCCCTCTTGCCTCCGTGGGGGAGACTTGCGAGTGACGACGGCAACGAGGAAGGGAGGACGACCACGACGGGGAGGAGAAGGCGGGTGAGGCAGGCATAGGGCGAATATAATGCGCTCCAGAGCATCCCAGAGCGCTCAGAAACGGGCGTGGCGCCCGACACACCCTCCAGACCCGCAAGGTCAGAGATTCTGCAATTCTCCTCCACACCCGCCAGCTCCTCCAGACAGGGGTGTCGACGGCTCGTTCAGTTCGGCTACGGCGCAGTCGCTTGTGTTCATTTGCTTCGGTTCGATCGATGGTTGCATCTTTGCTGCGTCGCTGCGTCCTTCTCAGCTCCGATCACTCGAGTAGGTGTCAATCGGTTTCGGATTCGCCGTCCGTGCGACGCGCGGTCGGTTTTCGGTCTCGATGTCGCCGTGTACGGCGATGGGCAGGGAGCAGCCGCAGGGAAGAGGAGGAGGAGATGACCGAAGACGCGTGGAGCCTTGTTACGGGAGGCTTGCGTCGCGTCGACCTTCGGCGAGCCCGGCGCGGGCGTGGAAGGTTGGTCGCCGTCTGCAGCCCGGAACCGGCCCATCCTTGAACGGTCCGGCCTTCTTGAAAAGGCCGACCGTTCAAGTTTGAAAGATCCTTGCGGTGTCAGGAACCAATCGGGCCGGACGAAAGGGGGGGATTGGGAAAGGGGGGGTTACGAAATTCTTTACGCTTCGCGTATCCCCACCAGCCCATCTCACAGCAGCAACTCTCGCGAAGCATGCCGACAGTCGTATTTTTCAGGCGTGTGTCCGCTTGGCCCCGCATATCTCCCCTGTTCCTCCTTCCTCCCGCCTCCTTGTACATCCTCCTTGTGGGGGGAGCGGGAGAAGGACGAGGCGAAGGAGGAGGGAGAGAAAGCGCTCCTCGTGATTTGAGTCGTTTGGGGTTTCTCGTCCTGGTCTGAGTCGTTCGGGCCCTTCTTCCTGGTGTGAGTCGTTCGGGCTCTTCGTGGTGTGAGTCGTTCGGGCTCTTCGTCCTGGTGTGAGTCTTTCGGGCTTCTCGTGGTGTGAGTTGTTCGGGCCCCTCGTCCTGGTGTGAGTCGTTCGGGCCCCTCCTCCTGGTGTGACTCGTTCGGGCTCCTCGTGGTGTGAGTCGTTCGGGGCCCGCGTCGTGGTGTGAGTCCTTCGGGCTCCTCGTGGTGTGAGTCGTTCGGGCGCCTCGTCCTGGTGTGAGTCGTTCGGGCCCCTCCTTGTGGTGTGAGTCGTTCGGGCTCTTCGTGGTGTGAGTCGTTCGGGCCCCTCGTCCTGGTGTGAGTCGTTCGGGCTCCTCGTGGGGCCTCTTGGGGGCCTCTTGGAGCCTCGTGGGGCCTCTTGGGGGCCTCTTGGGGGCCTCTTGGGGGCCTCTTGGGGCGTCGTGGGCCTCTTGGGGGCCTCTTGGGGGCCTCTTGGGGGCCTCTGGGGCCTTGGGGCCTCTTGGGGGCTGCCTCTTGGGGGCCTCTTGGGGGCCTCTTGGGGCCGCTTGGGGGCCTCTGGGGGGCCTCTTGGAGGCCTCTTGGGAGCCTCCTGGGGGCCTCTTGGGGCCATCTTGGGGCCTCTTGCGACCTCCGCAGAAGCGCAAAGGAGAGCTGCCCCCTGAGAAGAACAAAATGAGGCCAAAACCTCCGTAAAATCAATGATTCTGCTATGGAGGAAGAGAAGCGCGGCCCCCTCAGGAGGCCAAAATGGGGCCAAAACCGTAGTAAAATCAATGATTCTGGCTTCAAAGAAGAGCAGAGGGGCCAAACTCGGCCCCCCCGTCGGGGCCAGAATCCTCGTGAGGGTCGTCGTTTTTTGGCCCTCCCAGGAGTCGAAAAAGACCCCCTTGAGAACACTCGGGACTCCCTGTCCAGGCCCAGGGGGAGGGGGTAGGGGGAGGGGTAAACCCCTCCCCGAAGGGGAAGAAGGGGAGTTGAGGACAGAGCGGGCTCTCTAAACCACTCACGCCCAAAGGGCTGGTGGGATTTGCAGCATGCAGCTGGTTTCGGCCTCACCTAGGGGCCCATTCCTCGATACACAGCCGCCTCCGGCGCCGGGAGGCGCCGGGAAAATCAGCTACGTGAGCTGATTCTCAACCCCCCCTTTGCTATCCCCCCCTTTCCTCTGACCCGAACCAACGGCAGGGTCGACACGACACGAGCTTGCCGCAGACCTGCACGTTCTGTTGGCAGTCTGCCCCTCTCACTCGCTGCTGCAGCTTGGCGTGCGCGCCGTGGTCCGCGCTTGGGCCCTCGAGGGGGCTCGCCCGCAGCGCACGGCTTCTGCCCCGTAGGAGTCAAACAGAAGAGCTGGTCTTTTGGTGCTCCTGCGGAGCCTCTTGTGTTTGTGATCGGTGCGGGCTCTCGCCCCCCCACCCCCCAGGAGTGGATCTTTGCTGTTTTGGGCGCCTGCTTCGAGCATTCGGAGCCTCCCCCAAAGGACGCACTGCTGCAAGCAGTCGCATTGAGCAGAGGTCCGGAGCCGACACCCCCCCCTTCCCCTTCCGCCGAATGTCGGAACTCAGAGTAAGAAACGTTCCTTTGTTATCCTGTTTGCGCTGGGCGGAATTCGATGGCTACGATCGTAGCGTTCGTGCCAGGAACATGCATAGCGTCAGTGCAGAGAGCGAACCTTGATGAAGGCGCTGTGCGCGACAAACAAATTAAGTTGGGTGGGTGAAGAATCAGGGCGCCAGAACAGACAGATAGACCACCAAAGCCTAACCTCCCATCCCCCTGCCCCTCATCCTTCTACAGCTGGCACGAAGGTAAAGCATAACCCAATTGTGGGATCGTTGCCCTTGTGTTCTTCGCTTTTGCGCTCTCCACTTTGGAATGTGTGGTCGCTGTAGGCGTCACCTTGGGGCATGTGTCCTTCGGCGAAGGGTCCCACGCTCTTTTTCCACGTCCTTGTTGCCATGTTTTGACTGCGCCCCTTCTGTCCCCTCTTCTCACCCCTTCTTCGCCTCCTGCTCCTCCATCCCGCGCCCACCCCATCCTCATGCTTCGCGATCTGAAACGGTGAGCCCCCTTTCCTTGTTGTCTCATCCTGCTCGGCAGCGCACGATTTCCAGCAACCAGCGGAAAGCGCAGCGGCGTGTTTGCCAGTGGGCGGATGACGGCGACAGCGGGTCAGGTCAGACAGAGGCTTCACGGCGCCAGCCTGGGCCACGCGAACGTGTTACGAGTTTCCATCCTCGGCTAGTATTGTCACTGTCCCGGGCCGTCGTAAGGGCCCCCGGGAGCCCTACATGGCAAGCCCACAAAGCGTAGTGAATCGTTCCATGACTCGAGGAAGGGGTACGGTTCTGCTTCTACGCTCCTGTGCTCTCCCACCCTCCTCTCCCCGCTCCTCGCCCCCCCTCCCTGGGCTCCCCTCCCGCTGTCCTCCCTCGCTGCTCATGCTGCCCTGAGTCGTGCCCCCTCCCCCCGTCGGTGCTCCGAGACCTCGCCAGCCGCCCCTCTCCCACAGTCCGACCCCTACGACTGCGTTGCCGGCTTCAACAACTGGGAGGCGCCCCGCTCCCGCGGCCTCGCTCCGCTTCCGCCCCTTCTCCCGCGACCTCTCTGCCCCCCGCGTGGTTTTGCTGGGGGAGACGCCGGTGGCGAGCGCACGGCGGGGGAGGTGGTGCAGGTGTGCGGGCGAGAGGTTGTTCCCCGGGCCCCGCCCGCTCCGGCCGCCTGAGGCCCCGCCTTCCTGTGCCCTGTCTCCCTAATTAAAGCTGTGCGTAGCCCGCCTAGCTTTTAGCGGAAGAGGTTCGCTCTCGTCCCGCAGATCAAAAAAGGTGTGCGGGCGAGAGGTGAATGGGGAGGACGACGACGACGACGATCACGACGACCGACGACCGACGACCGACTCGACGACGACCGACTCGACGGCGGCGACCGATGACGACGACGACGACGAGGTGGAGAACAGGAGGGCGAGGCGCAGGAGAAAGCAGGGAGGGTGTCGAGGACGAGCCGGAGCGGCAGAAGGGGGCAGCGGAGGCGAGGCGGGAGGCGGGAGGGGCAGATCCCCAGGAGTCGCGGGCAGTCCCCACGCAGAGGCGCCCGCCTCAAATGGTCCGAATTGCCGCTGAGGTATCACAGATCGGTGCGGACCCGTGTTGCATGAGGTCCAAAAGGTCCAACGAATGGAACAAAAACAAGGCGGAGTTGTTGTTCGCCCGTTTCGCCTCTCTAGAGGCCCTCTTCTGGGGCACTGACCGTCAGACACGGCTCGGGATGAGAAGTTGGAGTGGGTCAGGGTCCTTGTGGACCTGGTATGGAACAAGAGCAAGACATCGGATCTCTGGGATAGTTCATGGTTCCCATCCACCCAAACAGTGCTTGAGTAGGTGATCGACCACACAACTGACCTACCTCAAACTTGATCTGTTCGTCGAATCCATGAGACATGCGTATAATGTTCGTAGAGCTACGAACATGCTGCGCATGACTCGAAGAGACAGTCAATGTTGGGGCAAATCCATTCTGGAGTCGATCCCCTTCTCGGGGTGCTTGCACTTGGGGGTTCTTGCATGAGTTTCCTTGGGTCTGGGACGCGTGCGTCGGGTTGGCCCAAGAGGGGGTCCAGAGACAAAGGTGTGGTGCAATAGATTTCGTGCAATAGATTTGTGGGGTTGCAGTACGCTTGGGAAGTGCAGTGCATTCCGGGGCGCAGATGTATGGCTGGAGATTCGCGTGCAATGCATCCGTTGCAAGACACTGCAGCACCATTTTCCGGCGCAGTACGGTTGCAACACAGTTGGCTGCTCCAGATCTATTGCACCACCCCCTTGCCGCTGGACCCCCTCTTGGGTCACCAAAGGTGTGCTGGGGGTGCTGCGCCCGGTGCCAGCTTGGTGGGCGCCTCTGTGGGCGCCTCTCGCCTGCGCCTCGTGGTGGGGGTGGGTGTGCGCCGTGGTTCCGCCCCGTGCCATCACGGGGGCGCCCCCCTTTGCGCCTCCCGCTCACTGACTCGTTTCCCCTCCCTCCCTCCCTGTTCGCTTCCTCCCTCCTCCTCCTCCTCCTCCTCCTCCTCCTCCTCCTCCTCCTCCTCCTCCTCCTTCTCCTCCTCCCCCCCCTCCTCCCCCCTCCTCCTCCCCTCCTTCTACAATTACTCAATATGAATACTACTCTCCCTCTTCCCCTGATGACGTCTTGGGAGTGTTCGCCCCCCCCCCCCCCCCGCGTACTGTTTTTTTACACAGGTTTCCCCGGAGTTAGGTTTTCCAAAATTCTGCTCTCGCTGAGGCGCCAGCCTCATTTTCGGGCCCCGCTCGTTCGGAATCGTGCTCCCGCTGCAGCGCTGGCATCATTTCCGCCGGCTCCTGGGCTGCACGCCCGGGCCGGCGCCCGGGCCGGCGCTCGGGCCGCCGGGTCCGGAGCCGGTTCCGGCCGCCCCCGGAAAATGGAATTCCGAGGCGGCGCCGAAAAAAGGCCATTCTAATACACATTGTTCTTTTGAAAATGCACAATTTCGGAATCGGCCCAGGGGCCGATTCCGACGCCCGGGCCGGCGCCCGAGCCGGCGCCCAGGCCGGACGCCCGAGCTGGCGCCCGCGCTGGCGCACGGGCCGGGTCTGGAGCCGGTTCCGGCCAGCGCTGGAAAATCGAGTTCCGAGGCGGCGCCGAAAAAAGGCCATTCTAATACACCTTGTTCTCTTGAAACTGCTCAAGTTCTGCTTCCGGCGCCCGGCCTCCGGGGCCGATTCTGGCGTGCGTCCGCTCGTTCCGAATCGTGCTCCCGCTGCAGCGCTGGCCTCATTTCCGCGCTTCCGCTCGTTTCGACTCGTGCTCCCGCTGCAGCGCTGGCGTCATTTCCCGTGCCATGCCACGGCATGAAATTCAATGCTAGGTTGATACTACCCTTCGCGGTGCTCTTCTACGCCATGCCACGCCGTGCTCTACAATGCATCGCGTACCCTTTCGGGATCATTGCCCTGCTCGACATCCGACTGTGCGAGTAGAGCGGGGATCTGCGCCATTGTAAGGGATGGGAGGGAGGGGTAGGATGTCAGATATGACGCGAGCGCACCTAGCTTGCCTCCTCCCCCTCTCCCTCCTCCTCCCCCTCCTCCTCCAGCGTTCTTTTTGTGGTTCCACACTGCCTTCCGAGGCCCATCCCAGCCCAGCCTGTTCGCTCCCACTCCCTTTCGGTGATCCTCAGGACGTGTGTTCGCCCAATGTGTGCTGAATTACTTTGTCCGGCCACGCTGGCAGATCACTACATCGCCTGCGTCGTGTGGAAGGCTCTCGGTGGGAAAAGCACACGTTGGCGCTAGCATACGTTGTGAGGACTATCGGCCCTTACTTCGTTCCCGTCCCCGCCCGCGTCCCCCATCCCTCCATCCCCATCCCTCCGTTCCCTCCCTCCCTGCCCTCCCCTCCCTCCCTCCCTTCCCTTCTCTCGCCTTCCTCCCTCCCCTCCCCTCCCTCCCTCCCCTCCCTCCTTTACCCCACTTCCTCCTTCCCTCCTTCCCCCCTCGTGTGGACGGCCTCGCGGTACTCGACCGCGTCGACAGCAAAGTTCCCAGGCGCAGGTTGACGCTTCGGGTCGTCTGGAGGGCTGGGTGTTCGCATGATTCCGAAGATTGTCAATGTTCTGTGGGCCGCGAAGGTCGTGACAGTCATGAGGGCGATGATGCTTAGGAGGTTCATGAGAGATATGATAATTAGGATGCGCGGGAGGGTTAGAGCATGGGAGCTATGCTGGGGGCGGCAGTCGCCTGGCTGCCATCAGGGATATGATGTTACGGGTGCTGCGATGGTGTTGGGCAGGTGTTGCATGGTCGCGAGTGGTACGGGACGCGAAGACCTAATCTGCTGACGCCCTGTGAAGGGGGTGCGCGTGCCCACTGGACAACCAGTGTCGCAGGCCTAGAGGTTGACACCAACACTAATTTCGGCAGTGTGCCTCCACCGAGGGAAGAAGATCCCGACCTCGGCGATTGTGGTAATAGTCTAGCTTCCAGGGTGGTCGAAATATTACCACCAACACCGGAATCTGGCATCATCTTCCCCCTTGTGGAGGCACCCCCTGTGTTGGTGTTCGTGCCCATTCCCAGGCCCTCAAGCGTGCGATGGCAAGCTGCTGCGAGCTGCGTACGCCGCCGCTCCCTGCAGCGCGTCCCGGCGTCGCTTGAGCTTGCAGCCCCCTCGTGCGGTCCCCTGTGCTCGTCGTGATTTTGTTTGTTTTTTTCCTTTCTTCCGGCTCCCTACCATCCTGCTGGGTTGGGCCCTTGTTTTGAAGAGACAGCGCTCCGCGTTCCTTCCTCCTCCTCCTCCTCCTCCTCCTCCTCCTCCTCCTCCTCCTCCTCCTCCTCCTCCTCCTCCTCCTCCTCCTCCTCCTCCTCCTCCTCCTCTCCTCCTCCTCCTCCCCCTCCCCCTCCTCCTCCTACTCCTACTCCTCCTCCTCCTCCTCCTTCTCCTCCCCGTCGCCCCATCGGGAGCTCCACCGAAGGCCCCAGTGGCACAGGCCGCATGCGCCCGACGCCTATTGGAGAGGCCTGACGGCCGGTGCCGCCGCTCTGATCGAAAGGGCTAGGAGTGGGGGGAGGAAGCGGAGGATGAGGAGGAGGAGGAGGAGGAGGAGCAGGAGGAGGAGGAGGAGGAGGAGGAGGAGGAGGAGGAGGAGGAGGAAGAGGAGGAGGAGGAGGAGGAGGAGGAGGAGGAGGAGGAAGTGCATCCTTTGTGTGCCCGCTCGAAGAAAGTGCGCCCCGGGAATGTGATATTCTGACTTGGGACGTGCTCCCGGCAGAGGAAGCAGTGCATTTCGGGCGTGCCCGCTCGAGGAAAATGCGCCCTAAGGGGGTGGTATTTTGACTCGGGGCCCGCTCCCGGGACGCCTCTGCGGGAGGAGGAGGAGGAGGAGGAGGAGGAGGGAGGAGAGGAGGAGGAGGAGGAAAAGGAGGAGGAGGAGGAGGACCAGGAGGAGGAGGAAGTGCATCCCGTGCGTGCCCGCTCGAGGAAAGTGCGCCCCGGCGGGCGTCGTATCTGCCCCGCCACCCCCCCTCCCCCCTCCCCCCCCCCTTGCGGGGAAGGGATCAAAAGGAAGGGGCTTCCCTTCGACTCCACTACGACGTCGTTTAATCTCGCTTTGGATAGCGCGCTTGAGGAGGAGAGCCCCTTTGCTCGTGTTCTTTTGTTGTTTTGTTTTTTGTTGTTTGTTTTTTGTTGTTTTTTTTCTGGCTCCCTACCATCCTGCGGGGTTGGGCCCTTGTTTTGAAGAGACAGCGCCCCGCGTTCTTTCCTTCCTTCTCCTCTCCTCCTCTTCTCCTCTCCTCCTCCTCCTCCTCCTCCTCCTCCTCTCCTCCTCCTCCTCCTCCTCCTCTTCCTCCTCCTCCTCCTCCTCCTCCTCCTCCTCCTCCTCCTCCCCCTCCCCCTCCTCCTCCCCGTCGCCCCATCGGGAGCTCCATCGCCCCATCGGGAGCTCCACCGAAGGCCCCAGTGGCACAGGCCGCATGCGCCCGACGCCTATTTTGGCACACCCACAACTGCGCATGGCGGGGTCCTTCGCCAGGATCATCT